ACACTTTTCCCGAGAGATTTTCTATCTAAAAATAAATTGGAAGTTAAGAACTTAAATCAGGAAAAATGAGTCATTTTATCTTTTGTTGCATTTTTTAGAAGAGCTTACTATGCTGAGATGTGACAGAGTTACTGAAATTCGATTGACTATTATGCTCTTGTCTAAAGTAAAGCCAAGACAAGATTAAATATCATTAATAACATAAAAGATCTGTCGGATCACAGAGGATAGATCTCTCTATAGCTGAATTTCTGCACAAAAAATTATTTGTCTTTTTTTACTATCCATGGTCAAATTACATCATAACAATCAGAAAAAATAGTCTTATTCGAGCTTTTGCAGACCGATGCGGTCGGAAAGGAAGAAATAACATTTTGACCTCAGTAGACCCAATAGTTAAGAGGAGTCTGCAATTAGCAAGCCACGAACTTTACTTTAGTGAAATGTCACTTCTCCTTTATTCTGGCCACATTTGTAGTCCAGGTTGTTTTAACCAATTTATCTTTGTTAATCACATCAGCTAAAACATGTAGCAGCTACTTACATTCGAAACTGAATATTTAATGATCGATATAAAAGCTCTATACAGAAACATTTTCCTTTCTCCATAAATTGGTGCGATCTAAAACTCTCGATTTTTACTGAAATCAGTTGAATGAAAGGCTATACAACCGTAATTAAGTTGATAGATCCAAGAGCAAGCAGAGCCTTTGCCTGATGAAGCACTATTCACTGTCCACAATTATGCACACTCCTTTTATGAGCAATACATAGAATTTCCGCAACTTGTCCAGACAAAAAAAAATTTAAAAAGCTCTTATAATTCAATCTATGACAAGAGTTTCTTAGAGTAAGGAGGTTAATTAGACGTGTTACGAAGTAACGACTCAAGCAAACTCTAATACATTAATTAAGTCGAAGCATGTTCCCATGTGCTTTAATTTAGCTCGGTGAATTGAAGGAAACTGTAAAGATTTTCATTATTAGGTTAATTCTAAGCTTCATTCTTTGTTTAAATTGTTCTTACTTTTGAGAGTGAAGGGAGAATAGGCCGGTCATGCATGCTCTTGTTAAAGGAAGGTAAAAAAATCAGAACAAAAAAGCGATCTTGATAAACGATATTGTTAAGACTCTTGCAAATGAACAGTATGACGAAGATGTCTGAATTTTGACATTCGGCTTGACTTGACTTGCTCTGGCTTTGGGTTCAACAAGTGGGTTGTAAATTTTGCAAATTTAATATATGCTCGTTTACCAGTCTTAACTGGGGTATGAAGACATTCTCAAAGCAGAAAAACTTGTCAGATGTCAAAAAAAAAGAAGAATTTTCAAAAAGTCAAAGGCAGAGACCTGTTTATTCATACGGCATGTTATTCAATCCAATCCAACCTGGTCCAACATAAGGTGAAGCATTTTCAATGTTTGCGTTCTTCTTTTGTCTGAATCTTACACCCAAATAAACGATCTTAATATAGTTGATGATTTTATATTTCTCGATGAATTGTTATGGAATGTTTATATCTAAAGGTAAATTTGTACCAGCAATTTCGCTAAAATATAGATATAAACTGTTGAAATGCTCAATTGAAAGAGTAACCTTGATGTTTAGATCATTATCAGAATTAATTATACTTTTGGAGTTAGAGAAAATTTAATTTAGTTTGTGAAATCTTCCCAATATTTTTCTAAATGAGGATATGCTTGCACGGAAGTCCTCGAGAGGGTTGATTTGTTTAAGTGGAGGGATGTAAAAAAATCCGATGGCCCTCGTTAGGCAGTAAGTGGATATTTGTTTTGAAGAAATGTGGCGCGCTTTAGATCAAAGAGATCTTCCCAAATGCTACTTAATTATACTAGCTCGGTGGCAGTTAGGATATTTCAATGATTTCTTTGTCAAATTTAAATAAATTGCAATATTTCTACAATTAAGGCATGTCTATCTCTTACGGTTTGTTAAATGTCTACTCCAGGAAAAATAGATATAGTGTTAAGTAATTAAATTAAATTTAGTGATTAAATTATTAGTTTCAGTAAATCCGAACAATTTAAAGCAATTTGGTATAATCTACCAAAGAAACACAAACATATGTAAACTAATGTCAATGCCCTTTGGTCATGTTTCCTTCCATGATGATATTCATCCTCGCTAGCTTAAAGAGCTACAGAGATTTTTATGTAAATTATTTTACGCGGCAAAAAGTGGCAAAGCCCCTTTTCAGTATTGATGTCGGTGATGCGTTTAAGTTTGTCGCTTGCTAAGTAAAATATTATTGACGCCGATTAAAACCTACTTAAGAAAAAAGAGTCAACTAAAAATAACACTGAGGAGCAGGATTGGTGGCGATTAATTCGGTATTGCTGCACAAATTTGTGAGAGTCCTTCAATATCATCAAAGTTTCTGATTGGCCGATAGAGACTATATATATCGTGTTTATAAATCGAGTATCAAACCTGGCCATCTCCAGAAGACCTGAGGTGTGTAACGAGACAATTTTACGGACAACAGAAGATGAATTCTTTCCTCCTCGCCTTGACGGTAAGCAAAAAAGTTCATCACGTTCTTGTCGATTGTTTGTATGAAAACTTCAACTGCACTCTTCTACTTTAGTATCAATCTATTTTTTGACACAAACTACATGGCTATGCACAATTGCTATCGGTAGTTTGTGCTACATATTACCTATTCCACTTTTGATGAAAGCAGTTGTTTTCTTTTTTCAGTTTTGCGACTGTAGAGAATAGAGTTTTCTGATAACAGATTTTTCCATGCGAGACTCGTTTGAGTCCAGCCAGTCTCGTAACTCTTGAACTCAGTTCTTTGATCACTTATTTGCCAAACACGTACTTCCTTCAAAGCCGCTACAATCCAAATAACAATATAATTATAGACAATGCATTTTTTTTTCAGTCTCGCCTAACTTAAATCACTCATCATTTTTCTTTTCTATCACAATATTTGAAATCTATCAATTTGTCATCGAGGCAATAAACAGCCCCTTTTCTTGTACAACTTTTTCCACGCATGCAGCGCGCGGAAACTTCATTCGCTCATGATCTGCTCACTTGTATTTTTTCAAGTGTAAAACAAAAAAAGTAAACTTTATTAAATGGTAACAACAATAATTTATCTACCCAAAACTATCGAGGAATTTTCATTTACCAGAAGTTTTAATGCTCGTTTTTATATTACAACTGGGCAAGTTTTGTAAACTTTCTCTTCCTACCTTATGAATTTTGGCATGCCCATATCGTTATATGTATATCGCCATAAGGACTTCTGCTTTAATGGCTAAGCATTTTAGGTAATTATTTATATTTTCTGGCAAAAAATTCAAATACAAAATTATAAAATGTAGTTTGGAAGAATGGTTTAAAGTAACGATTCTTGACTCTGACCTAAGTAATGCATTATATAGTAGATGTAACAGCACAACTTTTCCTTCCAGACACCATGTAACTTCATTCCATAACTGTCGGCAATTCTAATGAAAACTTTCAAATTTTGGTAGGCGGTGATAACATTCACATGTACGGTAGAATCCGCACCACATCCTAATTTGGTGGATACGGATAATGATCATTTCCTTAAACACCAAGAACAAGGTATGAAATCACAAATGGAATTGAACCAATATAAAAACACGAGTTGCCTTGAGGTTACGTGTTTATTCTGTGTGTTAGATCATTAGACCCTTTTAAACCCAAAATCTGGTCAGTTTATCTCCCCTCAAATTTCTACAAAGTATTTGGGAGAGTTTTATTTCAAATCAAGATAACCCAGTCTTATGCAAAGTAACTTTACCCATACCTTTTGACTGCCTGTTGGTTTATGTTTGAAATTGATACTAAAGGTCGCATATGAATCATGTCTGAGTTTTATGGTAATTTGGCAGTGACAACACGCAGTTTTCAGCAAAACATTTTTTTGTTTTTTTTTTTTGTTTTCTGGTTTTTGTTTTCAAGTTGTTATCAAAATGACACACAGGTAATGGCAAAACAAGGCAGCGTGAGTTTGTGATCTTTTCAAGTTTCTTCTTCCCAAATTATCCTTCTTCCTTCATTTTACAATTTTTTCTGGTACAATTATTCGTCAAACTCGTTTTCCAGCTCCAGTAGCTCCCATAGGCTTGAAATGTTACATTTGCTCCGAGAATTGTTCCACAACTCAGACTCCAGGTAGTGGCTGCAGACCCGGCCGTAGCTGTTACTCCGTACATGCTTTTGATACCGCCCTGAACAAGTCTGTGACAAGAAAAGGATGTATTCCTGAATTCTTCTGCACTCAGAACCGAGCATGCGTGTTTTTGAACCAATCTCGATCTGGTGCATTGAGATCGTGTTCCATCAGTTGCTGTAGTACTCCGTTATGTAATGGTCCACCTCTTCCGACGACTCAACCCATAACGACCACAGCACCACCAACCACGACCACTGCACCTCCGACGACACTCCCGACGACAGTTCCGACAACTGTGCCGACCACAGCACCAACTACAGCCCCAATTCTACCCGGTAATTATGAAACTAATCACCGGTTGAAAATTTTGTTTGCTGTAAATTATAAGATATCGGATGAGCATTTCTTGGCAGTTACATTGGCTTGTATTACAGTAACACTCCAAGTCGGAAAGGTTAAATGTTGATGCCCAAACCTTTTTTGTAGGTCGTATGGATTTCCGAATATTCCTTCACAATTCGTCCATTTTGGGACTATTCAGTTAAAATTCAATATCGCAAATCAATTAATCAAAAGAGGAGGATCACGGATCAGTTATAAAAGAGGCATTAAAACAACCCTTTATAGAAACATTGCCGAAAATTCGAAATTATGAATACAACATAAAATTCCTTAACTATCAAACACGCCACACAAATCTAAATGATTCTCTAGCCATCGAACTGAGTGCATGATAAACGAACTTTTGTTTTGATATTGTTTTTCTTTTATTGCACGACAATATTTTTAAGACATTGGAGATTATTTATTTCTGTTTTTCAGGGGTATGCGGAGGTCCACTTGCTCCTCCATCTGGATACTTTTCCTCTCCATTTTACCCACGCAGTTACCCCAACAATGCTAATTGCGTTTGGACGATTATGGTTCCACGCGGGTCTGTTTTAAAGATAGATTTTCTCGCCTTTGACACCGAAGAATGGTAAATGAATAGATTTTCCTTGTTTTATTGCTTGAAACTCAATATATTTAGCCCTCTTTCATTTTCGTTGAAATGGTTTCGGTGACCTTCTTGGCATATCCTAAATTCTCTAACAGACTAGCCTAGGCGTAAATGGATAAGCATAGAATTAGCGTAAAGAAATACAAGGGGAAACAATCGTCGCCAAAAAAGGTTTAACTGTGGGGACTTCAGAACATTGAAATTAACTGTCGATGAGAGGGGGGGGGGGGGGGTGGGGGAAAGAAAATTACAGTGCCTTATTTCTTCATCAAAATAAATTTTGTTGTGACGCAACCCAAATCCTCTGACACCACGACCACCCGGGTGATGAATAATGACCGGTACCTAAATGGAATGAGATAACTGAAGGACTTGGGTGCTCTAAAACTTTTTTTATTTCATGTTATCTAATAGAGCCATTCAAAGACTGTGGCATCATCTTCACAGTATAGTCTATTTTTTTCTACAGCTTTGATTCCCTCCATATATATGTGGGTAGAAGGTTGGTTCATCGTCTTTCCGGGGACGACGCTGACGATGATGATGATGATGATAGATTTGAGAAATGTGAGAAGGATGATAAAGATGACGGTGATGACGGAGAAGGTATATTTGGCTGGTACTTCAACCGAGATGAGGAGCTTGAAGATGAATCTGTCACTATTCAGGGAACAGGAGAGATGATAAGACTCGTTTTTATGTCAGATTACAGCATTACCAAGAGAGGATTCTATGCTAAATACAGTGTAATGAAAGGTAATTTCATGTGGCGTAAATAAAGATTAAGCCTTCTAGATAAATGGTTAGAGTCTGAGTAGCACTTCGAGAGGTATTTGAGGAACTTGCGTTGAATTTTGGGACACCATCACAGATCAAACAGTTTTTGAAGCAATCCTCAATGAACCGTAATTCATCAGCACCCACCGAGGGTTTGGATACGATATTGCTAGGTTCATTATGTTTCGAGATTTTTACTTAAGCGAAGATTTCACATTAAACAGGTAGAAAATAATATTTTATTGTGTTTAGGAAAGTAAATATACACTGCATATTGTTAGGATTATGATCTTTTAGGTTTAACGGAGATTTGATTGAAAGACCATATGCATTGTTTGATCCCTGGTCCTTAACTTCTGAGGATGGATACGCTGTTGGAATGAGACTTGAACATGTCCACATGTTTCGAAATATTGACACATGCCATCGACTGAAACACTAACACTAAAATCATATCTTTGTGAATTACAAAATGAATTTCAAATTAAACCAATGTTGAAAATTATAACCAGTTATCACTATCACCGTGGCCACTTATCGCTGATCATTTAGAAAAAATTCAACATTTTGTTTTTCCTTCGCATTAGCGATTTGTGGAGGCCCATTGGCGTTGCCATCCGGAACCTTCAGATCCCCTGGCTACCCCGGCAAGTATCCGGACGACGTTAAATGCATCTGGACAATTAGAGTTCCACCAGGATCTACACTGGAATTAGATTTTCGATTCTTCAAAACTGAAAAATGGTAAACATTAGTGCTCTAACCTTGTTAGAGTGCCTTCCCCCACTTGAATGTCGTGAGACCAAAAAACAAAAAGAGGAAAATATAAAAAAAAAAATAAGAGCGGTAAACGCGCATGAAAAAGACATGTTTGGCTTTAGAGATGCATTAGAGAGAGTAACGTTAATTTTCTGAATGAATCATTAGGCGAAGTTCATTATAATCGTTCTCTCTTGGATTGTTTGGGCTGTCAATTGGATTCTAGGACTGTTAGCGACAATCGGTTGAGTTTCGAGAATTTAAAAAATTTAGAACCAAGTTGCTACTTCATTCAGAGCCGAACAAAAGTTTTTTGTTGTGTTTTTGTTTCACAGCGATGATTACCTCAAAATTTTGCAAGGGGGCCGCAAAATACGAAAACTAAGTGGTGTTTACAGATACAGCTTGTTTGGATGGGGGAATAATGATGACGACGATTGTGACGATGATGACAAGGATGGCGAAGATGGCGAAGAAGGTGAAGATGATGAATATGTTGGTGAAGATCGTTCCAAAAGGTTCATCTTCCCAGTACAGAGGTTTCCCTCTCCAGTAGGGAATCGTCTTGGTTTTCCAATGAGAGGCCGCATTGGCGCCCCATATGTTACACGAGTCCTTATTCCAGGAACGGGAGAGCTGATATCGATTGTCTTCAAATCCGATGACGACGATGTCACTGAAAAGGGTTTTGAAGCAATGTACCGTGTTAGACCAGGTGTGTTAATGTACACTGAACGTTTCCTATCTTTTTGTGCTTGGAATTGACTCTGTTTGTAACCATGGCACTTTCTACATTACTGATCAAGGACACTCGTCATTAAGTTCTCTATAGCACTATAGTAGAGTATGGGAGAGGAAAATTACAACGTCGATTCATATAAAAGGACTAAGATGTTATCTTTAACATTTCGTTCGAAATGCAAAGAAACACAACTATGTTTTCTTCTTTTAAGGTTTTACCATTGTTCGCAGCCCTGCGATGCGTCGCCTTCTTCTGTATTTCTTTCCCTCAATGTCACTTCACCAAACATAAGAATTTCGTCCAGTTTAGATGAATGTTTAAATTCAGTCTTTCGTATAATAGACTCTCTTTCCCCTTTTACTTCTTGATCCTTCAATATTTATCTGCATTGGTAAGAAAAACACGAGCTGAAATAAATATACATTCAATTGAAGATATAAGACAAAAAAAATTAATGTCTTTCATCGAACATTTTATTATTTTCATCTCAAAATTCACTTACAAATCATAATTTTAAACGAATTACCGATTCGTCGAATATCAAAGTTTTTATTCATCCTTTCAAAAACCAGCAACTGAAGAAAAAAATTCAATTGAAGCTTCAAGTTCTATATTCTTGCTTTTGAATTGTAATTTGCAGTTATTAAATGTCATCTGTTCTCTATCTATTGCAGGGGTAGCTTTTCACGGTTGACCAGAAGACACGAAGGAAACAGAATTTGAAAGATGTTTTATCTGATCACAATTTTGGAATTACATCTCATCCTCTAATATTTTAGTAAAATTTTCTTCGTATTTTTGTTCAAAGTACTAGATCTGGTGTTGTAACTTGCTGTGGAAAGCCCATATCAAGATTGAGATCTCTTCACGTACATATAATTACTGTGGATCTTCTTAACAGTGGATCGAGTTCTATGTGTTTCTTGCCAATTAACAATTGTACAACTATACAGTTTGTCACTTTTAGAACTTTGACAACGTCACCTGGCGTGAAAATGATGCAGTTTGGGGCGAAGCTGTATAAGAACATATATATTTCTTTAATGCAGGGGATTTCATTCTAGCAAAATTTTGGATTTCAACAATTAAACTTTACAAAAAAAAAGTCAGTTTTGTATTTTTACTCACAGATTATAGTGTATCAGTATCCCCATTCAATACTAAACAATATAGAAATATCACCATCAGCCGTTATTCTCAATAGTGGTGATTAAGCACCTCAGACAGACAACACAGATTCAATTTTAAATCAAATCCCAACACGTATTGTATGTTTAAAAAGCCAAAAGGAGTTAGAAATTCTTATAAGAATATTTTATTTTCAGTCGGTATTTTGTTGACGCATAAAAGTATTTACTTAATCAATGATATTTTACTTAAGGGTAGCGTCAGTGAACGACTTACATCTAATTGGAATTGTCTTAGCTAAACCGCAACAATTCACGTGACTCTTCTCCCGGTCAATATTATATAAAGAGATCATGCAATCACTGTTAGTACGAAGAATTTTATTTGCTGACGGAGCTGGAACATGCTGTTAATTTGAGGAAACAGAAAGTTTGGGAAGAGACGTAAAAACCAAATTGATATGGAGAAAATCCTGCTTGTCCTGGTAAGGTTCTCATCGCTTGGGACACGTTCAAAAGTTTTTGAGTTATTACTTTTTTTTATTTTCTGTGTATCATTGAACCTATCAGCTCGTACAATAATCATTCGTACCTGGGTAAAACAGTTTTGAACTTAGGCATAATTGCCTTTGAGAAAGGAAATGGCGCCATTCAATATATTCAGTATAAAAAATCATACCCCCAACCAGGTCCCGCATTACACATAGATGAAACAAGGGTGTAAGGTTCTAAAGAAACTGTAGGACTGGGTCTGAGAGTACTGTAAGTCAATTTGGTTTTGTCAGCTGAGTTGATGATGTAAAATGGCCACCGTAAAGAAAGCAGCTGACGTTTCGAGCTTTACTCCTTCGTCAGAGCAAATGAATTTCAAATGAAATCTCTCTGAAAAAGGACTAGAGTTCAAAACAAATACTTTAGAATCTGCTTGCGGTGGCCAATTTGCATCATCACCTCAGCTGAAAAAAATTAATTAGCCATCACTGATACAGCGACGTATGATTGAGTATTTTCATTACCGAGACTAGTGCTGCTGGATCTATCAGTTTGTGGGAAACTGGAATCATTTGCGCCCACTGAGCGGCTTGAAAATGAAATTTTATGGATAGCCCATCTAGAAAATGAAGGGGAAAAAAGCTATCCATATTACTTCTTTTAACTGGTTCAAAAACAGTCCCTCGTTTAAAACACATTTATGTTTCACGATGCCTATATAAGTTGTTTATCCAATGGTATTGCACTTAACGATTAAACTCCCTTTTCCTTATATTGAATGTCAATATACCTATTCCCTCCACCGACAAAACTTTTGTGACCACTTTGACTAAATGCGCTCATCTAAAGTTACATGAATAGAGTTAGTCAAAAATCATTTGATGATTCTATGGAAATTTCAAAACTCCGGCGGACGACACAAAGAAAAGTGAAGCATAGAAAGCCATTATTCTGCTCTATAGCAGAGATCAGCACAAGTCATTGTGATGAATTAACTGTGTGCCAATGTAGTTGTAAGACTATGGATAGTTTTGTGCGCACATTTGTATCCACATGTCTAGCGGCCAAGTACAGTAAAGCTGACAGAAGATATTTAATTTAAACGCGTGTAGCTTGGTCGCAACATCAATATCCCCATATGCATGCCCATCATGATCACGATGAAAATTCAATTTTATAGCAATTTTGTAGCATTGTAGTCGAAGCTACTCTCAGTTTGCACATCAATGAAACATTAACTCAAATCTTAAGCTTTGGACTCCTTAACGATGTAAACGACACTGGTTATGTTGTTCATGTGATTTCAGTCTTCTTATATTTTCTTCTCACAGGAGTTGGAAATAAAAAACCAAAACTTTCCACATAAATGCTTAAGCTTCTACTTTGACTATGTAATGTTGGATTGGATGTAGATTCACTCGGTTCCGGTCGCGATTTTATGTAAATCGTTTTTGACTACACCGATTAAGAAACTGATGCATTATGGCACGACGTTAAGAAACGCAAAAGGACAATAACTGTGAAAATTTTTTGGCTAAATAAAAAGCTCAAAACAAAACATGACGGCTCCATAGGGAGAAACGGTTACTAAGTAGCATGAGCGGTCACCAAACAGATTCTCTCTTAGAGATTTTATGTTGTGTTAAGTTTGATGCAAGAAATGAGATGTAAAGAGGTAGTTTGAACCGGGGAATTACTTTTGATCTTGTGGTCTGATCGCCTAGGTGAGAGTAGTCTTGTGAAGGACTGATGTCGGTAGTAGTGACTGACGCATTGAGTTCGACAACATTAGCGCAAGTTATCACCAGAGACGAGGGCTCTCGTGCGCCACTTAAATTCTTTGTTCTTCTATTTTTTTTTTCTTATTCCACTGAAGTGTTTATCATATTGCTAGTTTAATAATAACTTGAGATGATACGTTTTGGTAGATGCTGATGACATCATATTCAGCGGAAGGTGACTCGGTGCACGCTTCCATTCATAACTGGACAACTGATCTCGAGGACCTGGAGCTGAAAACCTTGCTACAAATTCAAGAACAAGGTAGAAAGTACGACAGATTCATGTATTCTTGGGCATCAAGTTTAAGTGTATTTCTGATCGTGTTGATCGATTAAGAGGCTAATTTGCTCCTTCCCAGCTCTTTTGAAACACAAATAATTCTGCATTGAACATACTTAACCATCCATTAAAAAAAAAACAGTGATGATTACATAAAAACGTATGTTTCTTTTGATCCTTAACTCAAAAGATCCAACAGAAAAAGAAGAAAATTTATCCCAGCCACAAGTAAAGCAAACATAGCATTCTCACCCTCAATTTGGCACAATATTTTTTTGGACCTGTTTGTTGTCGTTGTTGTACAAGGGAAGACAGGCAGTAAATGTTAGTCTGTTGTCGTGTCTTGTTCGAGTAAGCCTGCTCTTTCTCTCTTTAACTCAAATCCAACACCTCTTTCAGCTCCTATGCGTCTTAGATGTCACGTTTGTTTAGAACCCGTTTCATTGGAGAATTGCACAACTGCAGAAACACTGCGACTTTGCGAAAGAGGCTTTCGCTGCTACAACCTACAGGCATTTGACACTGCTCGGAACGCCCACATCTTTGCTAAAGGATGTCTTCAAAGTATTCTTTGCGCTCAAAATCGTGGATGTGATTTCCTTAACTTATCTCGTAATGGTTCCATTGGGTTCTGTTCGTTGGAATGCTGTCATACACAAGAGTGCAATGCTCAACCGAGGGTTTCATCTACAGCTCCACCACCACCGATGATCACAGAACGACCTTCAACTGCAGGGTCAGTTCCTGTGACTCCATCAGGTAAATTCGTCAAGTGCAAGCAGCAGTTTCATCTGCTGTATATTGTAAATGAAGAATAATGGAAGCATCTCATGCATGCAAACAGCATCAAACAAGAGAGAAGATTTAGTGAAAGGTTTTGGTAAAATTTGAAACGACACCATCAATTGGGTCAGTATTCAAATCTTTCAGTTCTGCCCTTGATATTACCATGGTTAAATTCTGAAAATAGTTGAATTTTAAAAAGCGCAGGCTTTCAATTCTTACGTTTTAACCTGTCAAATATCATTGCATAACATGTTAAAAATTATTAGAATACTGCAAAACCACGTTATATTTTTACTTAATTGTCACGATATAATACTCTAAGAGTTCATAGACAGACAGAAAAATGAAAAGTGATATGAGATTTCACGTTTTTCCTATTTCGACGATCGTTTGTTTCTCCTTTCGTCATCTCAGCTTCGGTTTTCGCTTGTTTACCATTCATTCGCTGTTTCTTCAAAAATTGATAGCCTGAATTCACACGTTTCAATGAACAGGCAAATGCGGTGGTTCGCTATCTGCTTCATCTGGGAACTTTGCATCTCCAAATTATCCCAGTAAGTACCCCGACAATGCTGACTGCATCTGGATCATTCCTGTACCAAAAGGATCAACGTTAAAGATACAATTCGTTTACTTTCATATGGAGCGAAGGTTAGTCATAATTTATTTTCTGAAATAAATAGTGGAGGGGGACTCCGACAAGGAAAAATGGCGAAGCAACGTTTTCGAATGACCATAATTGACCTTAGCTTCCGCGTTGGCACTTTTAATAATAAACGTATTTCTTGAGATTAATTAAGAGGAGATCTTGAGAAAAATGTTATTTCTAAACTGTTTTTTCTTTGTAACATTTACCTTTTTTAAAACACTTTCACCGAAACGTGTCAAAAATACCGTTCCTAACTGTGATTTAACGCGAGTTATAAGCATTGCTTTTATTATTTTGCCAATCTTTTTTTAGATATGATTATGTAAAAATCTCTATGGGCCGACGACTGCTTCGCCGTTTGACTGGAAGTCCTCGAAAAAGGGATAAGGTGATTTCCATAAAAGGAACTAGCGAGGTGGTTCGCGTTGCTTTCAAATCTGACCGCAGCGTTTCGAAGAGAGGGTTCTTTGCCAAATACAATGTGATGAAAGGTGACTCACTCTAAAAATTCTATATCAAAATCAATCTGTTAAATGGGGCACCTTGACGTTATAAGAACCAATAATTATCTTAACCTCTGAGTTAACAACAGCGCCCTAAATGTCCCCTTATTTTCTCCTACATCACAGTATCGTGTTTTGAAAAGTAAATTTTTTATCTCTAATCACCTATTGTGCGAGAAGCTTTGCAGAGGTTTTATTTATTCTTCTACATCCATCCAACCTTGTCCAGTAGATTAATACTGTTCATGATAATGATAGTTATGTCATTAGTAGGAACCGAACCTGGGAATAAGTTCAACCGTCCTCTGGTATTCCATTTCATCAAAGCAAGTCATATAAACCCTCTCGATTGATAATGGTAATAGGACTTATTGGAGTCGAATTTGGTCTGTAATCTTACGAGTGATTGGCAAAGTCGGACGACCGCGAAGCCGGAATCCGGTTTCTTAATCACGACTATGATTACAGACAGAATTGGACGACACGAAGTCTTGTTACCAATTAATCAAAACTATGACAAAATTTGAGAAAGAAACTAGACGTAGGTTATACATTTTCACAAAAAACACAAAGTTAACTCAGTTAAATGCCTTCCGATGAGACAAACCGCACGCACATGACATGACGTGTTAACTGTCTCTTAGCTGTTCTATTACACTGTTCAATTACAAGTATGACGCGTGTACTATTCTATTAGTGCTCAAATCGGGCTGGTGATAACCAATCACGTTCGAGAATTTTGTTATAGTTTTGATTAACGTTTAAATTTACATTCATTTCAGCACGCAGCTGTGGACGAACTTTACCTGGTTCCTCTGGTAGCTTCAAATCTCCAAATTACCCTGCAAACTATCCAAACGACATCCACTGCAAATGGACCATACATGTCCCGCGTGGAGCACTGCTTAGACTGAATTTTCGAACCTTCGAAACTGAACGCTGGTAAGTAATAAGAAATAATGGATACCGATTGAGGGCATGTTTTAAGTCACTCATCTTAACGTTTGTGTTTGATTTCTTTTCAGTAATGATTACGTAAAGATATACCGAGGTCGTCGCTTGATTCGTCGACTGACAGGTCGATATGATCGCAACGGCAGGTACAGAGGCGGAGATGATACAAGATCTGTGTTTCAGTATGATGATGATTGTGGCGATGATGATGACGATGACGACGACGACGACGACGACGATGATGATGACGACGACGACGATGATGATGATGATGACGACGACGACGACGATGATGATGAACGCGACAAGGATGATGATATTGACGACTATAATGATGTTATAGATGACGATGATAGTAATATCCTACACGAAAATCCTGATGATACTGTTAGCTTTTCAAAGAGGAAGTATAGTAAATATAACCGTGTCCAACGAGCAAAGAATCGCTATAGGTCCAGGATAAGAAATCGCAAAGGATCCCGAATGAGAGGCCATCAACGCTTCTTGTATATAACTCGGATTCGGGGAACGGGCGAGAAGATATCGATTATATTTAAAGCAGATCGCCGAAATACCGGAAAGGGCTTTTATACAACGTATTATGTTTCAAAAGGTAGTGAAAAATAAGTAATTTAATTACTCAACTCCAATGAATTTTTGAATACATTCTATCAAAATACACCATACAGGAATCTTTATCAATAATATAGAGCAGGAAAGCTGCTGACCTATTGTTATTTAATATTACCTAAAATCAATAATCTTTTTCACATGTTTATCATTGAGGTTAATAATACATATTTGCAATGATAATAAGCCGGAGTGGAGTCCAGTTAATAATAGTAATTGAACTGAGTGGAGTGCAATTTGGGCTGAAATCACAAGTATGATTTCAGGTCAAAAGTGCACGACACTAGGTTCAATTATCCCTTTATTACATCCATTTTGAAATCGCCCAAATACAGGAATTGGTCAGTTCAAATATTTTATTGATGTAGTACTGAGCCGGTCTGAAATTAAATTCATCCATTTTTTGGGAGAAAGAGTAAATTTTTGGAAAAAAAATTTGCAAAATTTGGCACATGATGCTCTTTGTCTTTTATTTTCCTGCAATTTGATCGGTTACTTTAAATAAGCCTTGAAATCTGATTGGTTGTTTTGTTTTTAGAGTAGCCTCCTCATTGACTGGGAAGAAGGTGCGATTTAAAGCAAAAAATGGTGCGATTCGTGAATAAATCGCATCAATTAGAGCCAATTAGATTACAGGGACCACCAGTGTTTTCAAAATGGGTGTAATGAGGCCTGTAATCATAGGAGTGATAGGAGAAATCGAACGAACGCGAAGCACGGAATCCGATTTTTTAATCACTAGTATGATTACAGACAAAACCAACCACGTTCGAAAATTTTGTTACGGCTCTGATTAAAATTGAAATACTGATGAAATCATTTTCTTCAAATTTCTCACAGTTCATTCAGGCCGTTGAGTGGTCGAGTCCTCGGAAAAGTGAATCCTCTGGAGGTTTGCGGATGGTGTTGTCAGTATCAAGCTGATTTTCGTTTACTTTAGGTTTCCATCTAATTTACTGTATGATTTCATTTTAGCTTCAAAAAAACAAAAAAAAGAAAATAAATATTTCTAGTCCTTTATGAGAATTTCTCCAAGGTATCATGAAACTGATCCGAATGTTTTCTACTTACTTTTCTGCATATGTCTGTACTTGAATTGGCCATGGATAAAAATATGAGCCAGAATGCAATTCGCCTTTTCTAAAAATTTTCGATTTTCTCCTCTCTTCCTTTGGCCTATTTTTTCCTTAATTATCCTTCGGTTTCAGGCCATGAAAACGATAAATTACTCTTATAATCAACTGATTAGAGTTTACATTACATATGATATGGTATTCATTACGTAAAATGCGAAACACCTTTAAGAGACCTAGTCAGTTACCTAGGATGAAAAATAACTCTGGAAAAGTTCTACAAATGTCTTATTTAACAAATTGTGATTTTCATATAAACACAAACAGCTAGCTTAAAAGCTCATCGTTTCCATATAGTACCGGTCTACTCAATGCTGTTATGAGTAATCGATGTCTTTCGATAAGTTTGGTTCAAACAGAATTTTCATTAAAGGGAGGGTGATACTTCCTACCTATTTTAATACGATTAATTTAACACTTGCACAATTCCTTTTTCCATGTTATTCGTACTTGACACATTTTGATGTATTTTGTGATCTATTCCTGAACGGAACCACGACAACATGAATTCCATTTGTTTTATCTTATGACGAAGCAAACAACTGTTAATTGCGATGTCATTTATGTGTTTGTCCTCCAAAACAACATCAGTATAAACCAATCAAAATGTGTGCGTCAATTCAGCTGCTTACATAGATGTCTTTTGTTATGTTTATTTTCCGATAAACCCACGAATTTACTTTCATCTATTATTAGTTCGTTCGCATTGGCTAAATGAAGAGAAGAGAAGGTAAACATTTAATAACCGGATTACAAAGTTTACACTGGAGAAAACCGAATAATTGAGAGAGAGCTCATAGTCATATGAACGTTGTCTTGGCCTCCCTGGATTGTTTCTTCGTTTTGAACTGCTTTGCAGGATGATCAACTTTACTGAGAAATTGAAGGACGAAGAAGACAACTTAAACGAATACAAGAGAATCATTCTCATTAGTAATGGATCCTTCTCGATTTTTCTTGCAACATTCATCTGTGTCGTAAACGCTGTTATCATCTTTGCAACTGCCAGACATCCTTTGCCTGCAGTTAAAGTAATCGATCAAATCCATAAGGCTTTCTTCTACGCTAACATTATGGATGCTACATTGTTTCTACCATATTTTGGAGTCGCTGAACTTTTACATGGTCTTGGTATTAGCGAGAAGAAAGATCTTTTTCCGAGCTATTTATCTTCAGCGTTCCTCGTTTTCGCGCAATCTAAAGTGCAAGTCACCTTCATCATTTTAATTGAGCGCGGTGCTGCTTTTAATTCTCCCCATTTCCATCGCCGAATAACAAAAAATAATAGAATTTTCATGGTGTTACTGACTGTAGTGTTATTCTCGTTGCTTTTCGTCGGACTATCTTTTGCAGGGATGAAAGAAACCGTCTACTTCAGCATTCATATTCATCTCTTCTTTACTGCGCCGCTTTTGTTTATTCTCGTTACGACTTTCGTCACTTACTGGAAGCTGAAAAATAGAAACCGAATTGTGAGTAGCGAGATTCCTCCGTCTATGGAACAGTTGGAATTCCACAAGAAACGGAGCGTACGCTCAGCCAGAAGATATTTGATCGTCATAGCCTCACTCATGATACCGATGTTTCTATGTATTTTGCCGTGGTATGTTGTCACACTCGTTAAAGTGAACGCCAACCACGTTTATTTAACAAACAATTTAAGGTTTCTCTGGCAAAGATTTTCCATAACGCTATTGTTTCTACCAGATGTTATTGGTCCCATAACTCTCACCCTTCGTTTTAAAACATATTATAACTCAGTTAAAAGCCTTCTACGAAGATAACAATTCATCGCAGTATGAATGATTTTGCTTCTCTTAAATGATCATCAAGAACTTCCACAGAACCACTCGTTTTAATTCTATCATTGCTTCCTTGAAAATTTCCGTTCTTTCTTTCGTGAAAGGATCTCCGCATTCGTGAGAGATTTTCCCCCATTCGGGAGTCTGATTAATAATATTGATAGAGATGCCAACCTTGCCGCATCAGCTTCATTCCTTTGTTAGAGATTGAAAATAAAAAACGATGGCTGTTTTTGTTTTCAAAATATCTAAAATACAGACTTGGTCGGTAGTGATGGCGCCAATTCATTTGAAAGGAGGGAACATGTCTGTTCTCTTCAAGAGCTTTTATTTGATTTATGGATTGACAGTCAGAGAACAAACCAGAGAAAAATTACAATTTAAATATTGAGGGTTAAGACAGATGTTGGGAGATAATTTTTTAACAGGTTAGTGAAAGGGATTGGCCTTTTACAATGATGAAATAATCCATCAAAACATGAAACTTAATTCCACTTAGAAAAGAAAAACACATCGCTTTTTGTTATCGTTCATAGAGGGTCCTTGACTGGACATTCATTTTTGACTTTTGGAATTGATATCGATCGTTTGTATTTTCAACAAAAGCCACCTTGAGGGGAAAGACGAAGGCATCAGACGCAGTTCTAAAAATTATCATATTGCTTCTGATTTAGTGATAAAACTAAATATATTGGTAAAACAGATAAGAAACATTCAAAGCGAAGCATGGATAACCCATGATTGTTCGTTATTTTTTTTTACATCTCTCGCCGTGGGGAGAATCCCTTACATGGAATTTTACATGCTATACGCCACTAACTAGATTTACGGGCAGATGACATTCGAAACATAAAATTATTGTGTGACCCCTGCTGGTTGTTAGGAGGGACTATTGTGTTGAGACAAGCGATTAGTTTATAATCTCCTTATGGAGGTCGATAAACCTTAGCCAGTTCATCATTGCACAGGATAAAAATAACCCTTTCCATTGATCTGATTCATTTTATCGCATTTCTTTCATTTTATTTTACTTTTGGTTGCAGATTCAAAATAAATTTGAAAGAAACATTGATGGTGAAAATAGATAACAAACTTCCTAGTGTCCAGAAACAAATTAAACTGCAGACGCGAGGCTCCAGAAGCTGACAATACTTTGTTTACTAAGCTTTTTATTTTTAATTTTAAACAAGTGTGGTTTTTCCCATCTCCTTAATTCTGGCGTACAAATGCTATTCAAACGCCATTGCAGCTACAAAATTTGCATCATGAATCGCCATGATGTTGATGCAATGAATGTGGAGGTTAAAATGGATGGACTTGGGTTGATTTATAGCTCAAATTGTACCTTCTTATAGAAAATAATGAGGGCCAAGGAAAGATGAAACTTTTGTTTGAAATGGAGTTTTATTTGCACAAACGGATTCTGGTCAATTCAAGTCTCCATTAAGGAATTTATTTCTTATGCTTCACAGATTGACGTATTTACTTTTCGTATGTAAACATTTAAAATTCATCCAGAAAAAGGTATAGTGATCTCGACAGTAATTTAATTGATCGAAGTTTCAGGGATACAGACTACTGGATTTTGTGTGTCAAGTAATTTCTCGTTAGATCTACTGTAAGTCTCGCTAACCGAAGAAAAAATTTCAAAGACCTTTGCAATGAGTATTTTATTTAAATAGACATAATATATTCAGATATTCACCAAATACTGCTTTTTGAAACTGTCATAACTTACAGCAGATGCCATTTTGGTAATGAACATCGCCTCCGAACTCTCAAAAAAACATTTCGAGGCTTGAAAAGCACTGAAGGTTTCAGTCAAACAAAATCACTTCGCCATGGGATTCCATGCCACGGTTTTGCTTGTAAATGGAGCGATTTCACTTGTTTTTGCTTCAGTGGCATTGGTGGGAAGTACAATCATGATCATCGCAGTTGTGAGGAATCCTTTAAATGTGATTACAAAACCCCTCCATAGCATCGAAGATACTGGTCTCGTGCTTTCTTTCTTGGTCGGTACAGTTCTTCTTCCGTATTTTGGCGTAACTGAGATTCTTCA